TCCATCACAGTGGTGGGACACCTGGACATGTCTCCTGTCCATCACAGGAACACAGAGACAACATCCACCCTCTCCCCCACACCTTTTAGTGAACGTAACGTTCATGTTATGAAAAGGGAAACAGAAATCGTTAGCTCGTGTTGGTGGAAGATGGAACACGTGCACTAAGTGTGCACGTCCTCTGTCCCTGCAGCGTCTCGGCTCATGATGCTCATTCAGTCCAACAGGATGTGCCAGGACTGGTCCTCGAGCATCAACGAGCTGAAATTTAGGATGACTGGAGGTCAGCGAGGCTCCGAGCTGCTGTTAAAACATCTGTACGCAGAATTAAAGCTGACCCTTCGCCTCCGTCACCTCCTCCTCCTCTGAACCTCCTTTAGCCTTCAGCCCTGAGTTCTCCTCCTGCCATCTGCACACGGTTTGATGCTGACCTGCAGCTCATCGACAGCTTGTCCCTCCTGGGTCTCGTTTCCTTCTCACGTTCTTTTGGTTTTTAACCATCCAGTTCAGCGACTTGTTGACTCAAAATAAACCTTCTGAACTGGTGTTGGACCAGTGAGACGTGAAATATGAAAATAATTACCAACATCTGCAGAAAAACAAACAATAAATGAAATTTCACGCTGACGAATGATCAGTGAAGCTTCAAGAACAACAGCTGTTGTTGTTTAATATTTTTATTACATAAATATAAATTTACTGCTTATTTTAAAATATAACACTTCTTTAAAAAATGACACAACAACAAAAAGTGGATTTAATAATGTCCTGTTTGTGCTTAAATGTTTATTTTCTGCCTTTGAGGAAATAAACAACATTAATTTAAAGTCAACAGAAAAAAATAAATATATATTTTTATTTTAGCTACTGCTTTGCTGCTGGTTGTTCTGCAGACTTTAGCTCATGTTCTGCTCATTTTAGCTTCTTTTTTAAGTAAAGGACTCAGTTTGAGTTTCTTCAGCTGATTTCGGCTCTCATTCGGCTCTCAGTTTTTTCACAGACAATGACCAACATGGAAACTGGACCAGACCCACACCACGGTGCAGGTCCAGTTCATTCACACTTGCGTCTCTTGGTTCAACATAATGTCCCCCTAGTGTCCCTGTGGAGGTTCTGTGGTCCTTCTGAACTGGGTTCTGGACTTCAGGTCTGAGGCGCCCCACCTGTCAGCAGGAGGAATGAAACCTCCCTCACCTGCCTCCTTTCTCCTCCAGACCAAAGTGCTACAGGAGCCCTCAGAGGTCTGGTGCTGGTTCTGGCTCTTTCTGAGGACCAGGTCCTGGACAGCCCGTCAGTCCATGTTCAGATGAAAAACACAAAGAGTGAAAGAGGACAGGAGGGACACAGACAGGACAGGAGGGACACAGACAGGACAGGAGGGACACAGACAGGACAGGAGGGACACAGACAGGACAGGACTACGCAGTCACTGAGAGTAAATTTCATCTCAGCAGGTGTTTATCAGAAAACACTTTCACCAAATTTAAAGATTCTCTTCCATCGTGTTCCTCTGTCTTGCAGAGTAACGCATCAGAGAGCAGTGACTTAAATCATCTGGATGATAAATTTACAACTTCTTTGCAAACTTCACTCGGTAAAGCTGCTCCCCTGAAAAAGAAAGTAATCAATCAGAGGAGATTAGCCCCTTGGTTCAATTCTGAGTTACGTGCTTTAAGACAGACATCTAAAGAAAATGGCGCTCCACTAACGTTGAGGAATATTACTTATGTGGATTTATATTATTCATCTTTAATTGATGGAAATAAAAATAACCACAGGTTCCCTTTCAGTACCAAAGCTAGTCTAATAAAAATCATCTCTCTGTTGATTCATGTGTCCCTACAACTATAAACAGTGATGACTTCATGAGATTCTTTATAAATAAAATTGTTTCAATTAGGGAAAAATTCAAACCATCCTTCCTACTATCACCTCTGGTTCTGTGTCAGATGAGACAACTTGAAAAATGTCACTAGAACCTGATTTATGTTTGGACAGTTTTTGTCCTGTTGAGCTCTGAATTGTCAAAAATAATAGCTTCATCCAAACCATCCACATGTCTGTTAGATCCTACCCCAACCAGACTGTTTAAAGACGTATTTCCCTTAAATAATAACCACATCTTGGATCTGCTTATTTTTTCTTTAATAAATGGTTATGTACCACAGAGCTTTAAGATTGCTGTAATTAAACCTTTACTTAATAAACATAACCTGGACTCAGGAATCCTAGACAACTATAGACCTATATCTAATCTAACTTTCATCTCAAATATTCTAGAGAAGCGGCTCAAAATTGGTTTAAATCATATTTATCTGATAGATTCCAGTTTGTAAATGTAAATAATGAATCTTCTTTATACAGCAAAGTTAGTCATGGAGTTCCTCAGGGTTCAGTATTTGGACCAATTTTCTTTACTTTAAATATGCTTCCATTAGGAGGGGGACAGACAGGACAGGAGGGGGACCGACAGGACAGGAGGGGGACAAAGAGTACAGAAGGGGGACAGACAGGACTGGGAGACAAAAAGTACAGGAGGGGGACAAACAGTATAGGAGGGGG